TCTGAGATAAAACTCACTCTCTCTGTAAATCACACATTGATTTTCCCCGCTTCTATCTCAATATATTGCAGTTGGCCTCAGCCGCGGCTGATGGACACATTACAGCTCTGTCTGGTTCCATTAGGAGTCCCGGTCCTGAGCTTTATTACCGATGCCATGTCTCGTCCCTGATCGTGTCTGCGGGGGGAACCAGCAGTGGCTGCCGGCACTTTAACGATAATCCATCCATCAAACATGGAGCCTCTCAGCCGGAGGCTCTGTCCTCCAGGCAAGGCTGGCTCTGGGACAGGGGAGCCTGCGGGGCTAGCTGTGGTCGGCTTCCCCGTCTCCTGCGCCAGGTCAGCTCCCATCAGTCAACGCCCGAGTGATGGCTCATGGTGCGTTGTGCTGGTTCCTCGAAATCCCGAAAGGCAGAAAGGATAGGGCTGTTTTTAGAATTCTTTTTTTTTAAAATATGTTTTTATTTATATTAATAGAATGATGATGGGAGAGGGGGGGGGAGAGAGAGAGAGAGAGAAAGAGAAATATCAATCACTTGTCTCTTGCATGTTCCCCGCTGGAGATGGAGCCTGGCATGTGCCCTCCCCAGGGATTAAACCGGTGATCTCCGGGTGCATGGGGCAGCACTCAACTCACTGAGCCACCCCAGCTGGGCTCAGGATTCTGTAAATGAGCAGCACATGGAAGCATGGAACAGTACCTGACATGGAGTGAATGCTACATGATATTGACTGTTATCTTCATCTTCACTAATTATAACTACGTTGTACATTTACGACGACCCCTGTTGGTTTACTCACATGCAGAGTATGGCCAAGAACGCCAGCCTGCCTCGGACATGTGGGGTCCGCACCTGTTTGCTATCAGCAGGGGTCAGTCCGCACTTAGGGAATGGATCCTGCGGACCGTGAGCTGTAAGGTCTGTAAGGCGCAGGTTGCCCCCAGGGCATTAGTTGGGTGTTCCGCTCTTGTGGCCAATGGGATGGCAAGTGAGCGCAGGGCCTCTGAGAGGCAGGAGCCAGGAAGGGATTCGATGTGCAAGAGATTTGCTCAGGGACGAGCCTGTTTGGATGTAGAGGAGGGAGCAGAGGTAGCAGGGAGAGCCTCCGCCTGCGGTGCAGACCTGGCACCTGCGAAAGGGAGGGGGTGGGAGGAGGGACCTCCCACCACAGCACAGTTCCTCTGAGAACGTTCGCTCAGGTTGGAGGGAGGTCCTGGTGCAGAAGGTGTTCTCCTGCGCTGGTTACCTTCCCCCCTCCCCCCATGCTCAGCCACTGGCTGGGAGCCCCTGGGCACAGAGGGTCATGGTGATGGGTCCCGCAGAGCAGCAGCCAGGACCACTCATTGCCATTGAAATGGCGGTCACAGCTCTTGGTGTCCTCGCTGAGGTTTCCTTGGGAGGAAGCAGGAGCCTGGGCATTCCTGGAGGTAGATGAGGGTGGATGGGGGTGGATGGGGGTGGATGGAGGTAGATGAGGGTGGATGGGGGTGGATGGGGGTGGATGGAGGTAGATGAGGGTGGATGGGGGTGGATGGGGGTGGGTGGAGGTAGATGAGGGTGGATGGGGGTGGATGAAGGTGGATAGGGGTGGATGGGGTGAGTGGGAGGAAGAGGGAGTTAGAGGTCAGATAAGGGGCTCTCCTGGATGGCTTGTGAGGCGCTGTCCAGCAGCCCCGGTGCTGAATTCCGATAGACAGCTAATTATGTGGGGAGCCAGCTGCTTCCTAGGAGGATTGGCCGCCCAGGAAAACACGGGACACATTTGCCGACATCCTTTGCCAGATTAGGAAAATGAGGCCAAGACAGAGGGAAACAGCTGACCCCACCTCCATCACCACCATCACCATTTCGCTCGTGGCCAGACCTGAGAACTCACCGCTGGTTTCCTGGCGAGTGGCCCATCTCAGGCACCTTGTGGGATGTGGTTGTTTTGTGCCTGGAGATCTGAGCACCTGGACTTGCACCCCAACTTCCTAAGGAATGTGCTGAGTGAGTTACTCAACAGCACACGAGGGTGGGCACCATGCTCCAGGTCATCGGGAATGGCCGAGGCGCTGAGAGCAGACCCCTGGCCGCTGTGCCCACCATTTTCACCGTAGCCTGCCTGTCTCATCTATACAGGGATTCTCCATGGAGATCAAGGGTTGGGGTGGTATCTGAGAAGAAAGCAGGCCTCTGCCTTATTTCTTTGGCGTTTTGTTACTCAAGAAGTTGATTTATTTTAAACTTTCCAATAATCTTAGATATGGTGTAAGTTTTTATGTTGAGAGCAGACACTCATGGCTGTCATTTACTTTTTATGTTTTGCTGCGCTGTATTTTCTAATGTGGTGAAATTGTGCGTCCTATAAAATGTGCCGCTGTAACCGGCGGTGGGGGAGCTGGGCCGACTGGTGTCCAGGGCTCTGTCTGTCCCGCGGAGACCGATGAAAAACTTCCCATGTTCTCTCTCCCAGCCCTGGGTCACGCTCTGAGTCAGACTTCTCTTTGCGGAATGGAAGCGGATAAAAAAAAAAAAATCTCTTATGGGAAAACCTCAGACACCAGGGTGAAGATAAAATTGACAGATACATCATTACCCGCTTAAAGAATAGCCGGCGTGCCGCGACCTGCTTCTATAAGTCTGTGTCTGCAGGGGAACATTGCTGGCCATTTCCCTGGAAGGGAAAGTGTCCCAGCCATGGCTGGTATAGTCCCCCAAGGTCTGGGGCTCAGTTCTCCATGTGCCGCACCCCAGTAGATGCACCTGACTCCCGGACACACGGCTCTTCGTGGAAGGTTTGCAGAGCATGTAGCTGATCCCCACGGCTACTCACGTCCTCTCAGGATGCAGATGGCAGGTGTGTAAGCGACTTTCACAGAGTTCAGGATCAGCCCACGCCTGTTCATGCTGGACAGGCCCAAAGCTGTGTGAGCATGTATATAAATCCCTGTGCTGGTACACGTTAAATAAGCGGAAAGGGTCGGTCCGAGAATCACCCTGGGTCCTATTGCTCCAGGCTGCACTACCATGTAGATTAAACCCCTAATTGGAGCAAAATCTCCAACAAAAGAGCCAACCAGCTGTTGTTCATGGGTTAGGGCAGCGTGTCAAACCCAAGGGCTCCCACAGGCCACGTTAACAAGGGTAAGTGGATGTGGGCCACAGAATAAAATAGCTTCCATTTTCTTCTTTTAAAAAAAAAAATATATATATATATATTTTATTGATTTTGTATAGAGAGGAAAAGAGAGAGATAGAAACATTGATGAGAGTCATTGATCAGCTGCCTCTTGCACACCCCCTACTGGAGATATGCCCGCAACCAAGGTACATGCCCTTGACCAGAATCGAACCCAGGACCCTTCGGTCCCCAAGCCGACGCTCTATCCATTGAGCCAAACCGGTTTCGGCAAATAGCTTCCATTTTCACAGGAATGTACGTTTATTCTATAGAGACATGCTGAATACAAATGGCTGAAATAAATGAGTCATGGTTAACATAAAACAATAGAACACTTTAATAAAGTTGATATTTTTCTTGAACATTAATGTACCAGACACCGAATAAAGGCACAAATTAATAAGCGTAATGCAAATAAACCTATCTTTCTTGTTCTCTGAAAGCGAAATATTTTCTGGTGCGCACACCAAACAACTCAGTCCAAGACTAACGACGTGGCCATGGGCTGTTACACATTCGCTGCTGTTCTTAGTGGGGAGAAATGATGCGTAAGGTGCATAAGGGAAATGAATGCAACACGATGATAGTAACCAACCATTCGTGAACATTGTAGTTCGTTATTAATATTTATGTACGGCAGGATGTTGTAAAAATTAAGTTACAAAATTTTTATGAAAACGTTTCTTGCGTACCGTTACATCGGCTGGCTCGCAAAAATATTTGTTCTGGCCCGTGAGTTTCACATGCTTGGTATATAGGGCAAGGGAGTTGGATCCCACAGATTTTTTCAAAGGGAGGGGATTGCCCTGCTTATGTCAGGTCAAAGCTTAGTGCCTCTCCAGTTTCTGACACCTCTCCCCGTGGCCCACCTCTGCCCTGGGGGAGGGGGCTGTGGTCTCTGCTGTGCTGAGAACTGTTGGTTTGTAAACACTGGATTTCCCCCCCACCCCACACCCCATCCTGAAGGTAGCAGGGGCCAGTGGGAAGCATCTCCGATGTCCTCTGACTGTATTCTCATGACTGTGAGCGTGGGCAGTGCCCAAGGCTCCGGGGTTGCAGGGACAGAGGCCTCCTCCTCCTCATGGAGAGGGTGCCCGCAACCCTTAGACCTGCCCAGCGCAGCCCCCCTTGAATCCGGCTCTCACCCCGTCCGGCTCCTCCCTGGGGCTCTCTTCTTGCCCACCCCTTTCTGAAGCTCGTCAGGTGCACTGGGCAAACCGGAGAATGTTGATCAGGTATCCACCCCCACCCCCTGGAGTCATGGCTCCTCCCCTTGCAGACGTTTCTGGACAAAAAGGGGAAGAACAGCCAGCTGTGGAGAGCACAGAGCCAGGCCTCAGACTCACAGCCCCCTAGGCTCTCCGAGCCCCGTCCCTGCCCTCGGACCCAGATCCGAAGGGGAGATGCTCACACAGTAGCTTTTGCCCTCCTCCCTCTTCACTACAAGGTCCCCCTTGGCCCCTGCGCCCTTGGCCTGGAGCCTGCCCCGCGCTGGTGACCCTGCTTCCTGTTGGATGGAGGTGGCGCTCCCCGTGGGTTCAAAAAGTGTCCTCACGTGCGTTCTACCCACCGGCCCCAGGCCCCTGGGATGGGCCCCGCTTCCCCATGGCCTCTGCCCTTCATCAGGAACCTGTTCCATGTTTGTCCCCGCCAGGATGATGGCGAGCTCGGCAGGCGCACAGGTTTCACTGGGCAGGACTCGGCACGTCGGCTTGTCCATCCCCATGCATCTCGCTGGACCCCAGTCACTGTGCCACGGGAGCGGACAGTGGGGGCAGCGAGCATGGGAGGGGGGAAGACCACCCCTAACCCCGCACGCTCTCCTGTCTGTTCCAGAGGGCCTCGCTGTGGGCGTCGGGTTCGGAGCGGTGGAGAAGACGGCTGCCGCCACCTTCGAGAGCGCCAGGTAGGTCTCCCCTGCTGCCCTGGCTCCCGGCCCCGCACCCCGAGCCGCTGAGGGGCACCCTGAGCCGCTGAGGGGCGTTCCCAGCCGCTCCACGAAGCCCCAGACGCGTGCGCCATGCGTCCTGGGTTGGAGGTTTCCATCCTCAGCTTCCTGTTCTGCCCATGGGACTTCCAGGGCGGTCCTCCCTGCACCGCCAGCTCCGGCCCTTAACCTGGCGCCCGAGGAGGAGACGGGAGTGGGAGGGCCCTTCAGCGTGGGGAAACGTGGTGCCTGTGGCGGTTTCCCAGCACCAGGCGTGGGGGATTGGGTTGGGGGGGAGCAGGAGTTAGGGTCCTTGTCCCGAGGCACGGCCTGTGATGTTGGCTTCTGTTAGAACGGGGTGAGCTTCAGCATCAGGCAGTGTCCGGGGGAGGGGGGCGGTGAGGAGCCACACCATTGTGCCCCGGGCACACCCGCTGCTCAGGCCGGGCTTCCAGTCGGTGGCACCTCACCTCCCGTGACATCGAGACATCAACGCCGATGTCCCTCTATCCCGTCGCCTGCACTTCCAGCCAGTCCTCCTAAACATTCCTGAACAAAGTAGCACAAAAGCCCCTCCACCCAGCCCCGCCCTTCCCTGACCAAGCAGGTGCTCCCTGAGTTACTTAAGCCCCCGGACCCTCCGGCCCCTCGATGGGGACGGGACAAGGACTGGCCTCCGTGTGTCAGCCTCACAGACCTGTTACACAGTGTCCCCGGGGCATTGTCATGCCATCACACGCCATCCCCATCATGTCACAGCCCTGACTGTCATCCTCCTCACTGTATCTGAGGAACTGGGGGTGTTGGGGGGCTCCCTGTAACGCAGGCGCAGACGGGGAGAGAGGTCTCCCCCAGGCAGTCCACCCCTCAGCCCATTTGCCTCACTTATAAGCCATGTCAGGCTGGTGATTTGTGCTCTTACTCTTGGTCAGTAAGATTGCTCTGCCCTCAGCTCAAGCTACAGGCCTGGGAGGATGGGGACTGCAGGGTAGAAGGGAGGGAGGGAAGGAGAGGGGGAGGGAGGAGGAATGTGAGAGGAGGTAGGTGGGAGGGGGAGGGGAGGGAAAGAAAGGAGAGGAAAGGAAGACAGACTTCCTTTCCAGCTGCTGGGGGAGGGGTGCAGAAACAAAGTCATCGGATGACTAAGCACGCGGTTCAGGAGAGACGATGGGTTTTACTTTGGACCGAGGAGGTGGTGCCCTCCGCCGCGAGCCGGGAAGGTTAAAAATAAAGGGACGGAGAAGGTGCCAGGTGAACGCTGATGCGGAGGAAGCAGGCATCGCAATTTTAGCATCAGACAGGCCAGATTTGGGGGCGGAAAGCCAGCCGCAGAGAACAGGTCAGTCCTCGCTGACGGAGACGGAACCGCGGCGGGGCTGACATAATGACACTGAGCGCCTAGCAACACGCTCCGACGGCTGGAGAGGGACCCTCGGAGCGGCAGGAAGACGCGGCGGGAAGCGCCTCCGTCAGGGGGGCCGAGAGCCGTGCCCCCCTCGCGCTCCGTCAGACTGACGGAAAACGAACACGATGTACCAAGGGGGGAACTGCCCTCCGTTTGCACACGTGTGCGTGCTTTCCAAATGGATCCGAGCAGCGAGCCCCAGAGGAAGTCAGAAGAGCCCCAGGCATGACGTGCCAGCCACCGTCTCTGATTTCCTGCGACAGAACTGAACGTGGATAACGTGAGATAGCCTGAACGAGTTGTCAGGGGGGCACCCTGCCCCTCAGGCACCCCCAGATCAGCGCAGCTTAAGCTTCAAGGGAGGGATTGAAACCAAGTCATCTGCGAAGCCAGTGGACCCCGGGCAAGCTCTCCCTTCTCCTCGGGGGTGCCTCATAGAGGGGGGGGTGTTTTATCAGGAGTGGGGGGCAGTCCGCTGGGGCAGTCACTGCTGAGGGCAGGTACTGGGTGAGCAGGGAGGCCCGAAGGCATTGCCAGAGCCCGTGTATAGACGTGTCACTGAAACGAAATTCCCACAGTGCCTTGTGGGAAGGAAGGTGGGAGGTGGGGGAGGGTTGGAATCGATGATGGGGCTGACTCGGGAAATGACAAAGCCCAAGAGATGATTTAGACGCTGACTCCCGTGGGGTAAATTGGGGGAGGAGAGGGACATGGGCCAGCTCGGAGAAGCTCAGCGGGAACGGTTACCACCACCCACGGTGTCTTAGCTCCATAGGAAATGGGTGTGAGGAGGGTGGGAACAGGAAGGACTGGAGGCAGGAAGAGGGTGTAAGCGCAGAATCTGCTGGTGGCCTTTGCCAGCTGGTTTTGTGCAGAAGGAGAAGGGAGAAGTTCGGGCATCTGGGTAACAAGGGCGATCTCGTGGCGCCATGGAAGGGCTGAGAGGAGAGGGCATAGACTTGTGTGGCTTTGGGAAAAGAAAAGGGCTGCCCAGCAGGTGCCTGGGCTCCACGTGGACCAACCAGCGGGGCTGGTTAGATGGTCCTGTTCGTTCCGGGGCCGTGGGCTGCCGTCGGCCCAGCACCATCTCTGTAAATGAAGTTTGTTAACACACAGCCACACCCATCATTTCCCCGTGGTCTGCAGCTCCCCAACCCCCTCTGTCCCCCGTGTGTGGCGATGGTCGAGTTGCATAACGGCCTCTCAAGGCTGGAGCTGGAGAGAGCTGGCCCTTTACAGAAAGTGCGTGGAGACCCCTAATCCGCGGATGCGGCTGGCAGCGTGAGCATTTCCTGCAAAATCCTTCTGTTTCCTGTGCCTCCGGAATCAGGAGGGGCTCCCTCACCTGTGGCATCAGACCCGCTCGCAAGAGAAGAGAAAAGTAGCCAGTACGTCCTCTAGGAAGAGGACAGACAGGCCCCTAACAGATGCTGTGTGTGTGTGTGTGTGTGTGTGTGTGTGTGTGTGTGTGTCTGCTGCCATCTAGTGGCCAGATGCTGTTATGTCACCTTTCTGGAGGCTTCTCCAACATCTTCCTCCTCCTCTCCCGCCACCTTCCTTCCTCATTAGAGAGCTTTCCTGAGGCCCTGGGTTCCCAAGACCACCGCCCCTGAGTGATGAAGGCTCTCAGCCAGCAAAGGGCAGCCGCAGTGCGCGGGGGACACAGCTTCCTTCTCTCTGGTCTGGGCCCTCGCATGCTCCTTTGGTCTCACTACAAAGAGCTGCTTCAGACCGCATGTCCCCGGGGAGTTGGCTGCTGCAGAGACATTTCCCTCCTGAAGGGTTGTTGCCCCCGGAGGACAAGTTTCCCAGGAAGGAAGTGTGCCCTCAGCTCTCGCTTGGCTCGGCGGTGGGCACAACCCACACCCACAGGGGAGGGCCAGGCCACTGGTGCCGAATCACCTGGCTTCACATGCCCCATGCCCGTTTAGGCTTTCACTGAGCGTTTGTGGTCCGTGGCCGTGCCCTGGCGCAGGCTGCGTGTCACCGAGGGGCTGCGACCGCGCCACGCGTGCCGCGGATAATCCACAAAGCACACCGCCACCGCACGCCAGGGCACGCATCCTGCCCAGGGCCCAGCCGGCGCATGCTCACCGGTAACAGACACTCCAGGAAGAGGGCCAGGTAGACCAGCCTGCATTTGGGCCCACAATAGCTCATTAGTTATGCGTGGGGACCTTAAAATACTTCTCTATTATATTTTTAAAAAATTGTCTTCAGAGAGGAAGGGAGAGGGAGAGAGGGATAGAAACATCGGTGGCGAGAGAGAATCCTTGAATGGCTGCCTCCCACTGGGGATCCAGCCCGCAACCTCGGGCATGTGCCCTGACCCGGGAGTCAGACCGTGACCTTGTGGTTTGTAGGTCAACGTTCAGCCACTGAGCCGCACCAGACGGGCATTGTATTTTATACTTTAAATTTTAAAGTGTGCATTTGCCTCCCAGATCCAAGAGCAAGTCAGACACATCCATTGGCCCGACTCAAAAACCAGTATGTATGTTAATATATTAACAGTCATTTAAGACAGCAGCCATTAGTCAACTAAGCAGCTGTTTGTTTAAAGACAGAGATAACAGCAGACACAGTTTGCTGGTCATTGGACCATGTTGGCCAGGGATGCGTGTTCCTGCACACATGAGACCTGTGGCCCCCTAGGTATCTCTGTGTCTAAAGAGACCCCGCTTTTGATTTGGTCCCGGTGTGCTTGTGAAAACAGGTTTGCACGTTGCATACGCGCAGACACGTTGAAGGGGAGACTTGTTGAAGGGGGGGACGGGCCTTAGAGAACTGAAATAAGATATTTTCTTTACTCTTTACTCAAGCATCTTGTAAGGAGCGAGCTGCCGTAGCTGCCTCCACGCCGCACTGAGGGCGCCCCCCGCACCTGCCTGCAGCAGGGACCAGTTCTCTGGCTTCTGGAGAGTTCTGGGGAGACTCCCTCAAGGCTGCCCATCTTGACTGCCTCCCTGCTCACTGAATTGGGTCTCACCCCTCCCCAGGGCAGCCAGAGTCCAGCCTGGTCTCCCTGGAGAGTGGCCTTGGGCCTGAGAAGTGAAAACCCCCCCTCCCCCCCCTCGTGGGGAGTCAGGGAGGTGCCTAACGGAGGAGGTCCTTTTCCACCCGGATCCCGCCACTCCCACGCCTTCCCCTGCAGAATAGCACACACACACACACACACACACACACACACTCTCTCCTCATCCGCCTTCCCCTGCCCCACCCGCCTGTCAGTCACTTTGGCAGGATTAGAAGTAAACTCTTGTGCTGTTGTTTATTTGCAATAGCAGATTGAGCTCTCAATTGTATTGTATGCAAAGAAGCCCTTCTCTCGAACCCATCAGACTACCTTGCTTGGGATTTAGTCTGTAGGCAGCTCCTCTGAAGTCTTTCCAGTCCTCCCACGCACCCGTGGCCTTCCCCTGCATCATTAAGGGAGGCAAACAGTGGTTGGCAGACAGCGCCCCCACGTGGCAGTTCTGTGTCATCGCTTGGTAGGTGACTTAGGATGAATGACAAAGGTAGGTGCAGAAGGCAGTGGAGACAGTGTGGGACTTACCCAGAAGTCATACCTGCA